TCGTATCTGAACAAGTCCTGAAAACAGATACTATGCAAGGATATAAAATAAATAATGAAATGTGACAGAATGACAAGGAATAAAAGTTAAAGACCAAGGCAATCAATATCATTTAGTGGGTGAAAGAAGCTGAGAAAGTTAAATAAGGAGAGGCCAAATAACAGGCAGTAGGAGCTACTGAGGTATGGTCCAGTATGAACCCCAAAACATACATTCAGAGGAGTGAAAGAGAAGGTTTGATAAGAACTTGGCCAAATATACAATGACATTTCTCTTGCCTGAAGACATTTCTACACATAGCACCAAGCATGTTGTAGGTACAAAAGTCACAGTTGGCTGGGGAAAATGCTAGAAATGGTAAACCAAATCATGCCAGAACACAAGAAGTTTGAGACAAACATCTATCAAAGCTCCCATTTTCATTTGTTCATTCTTCCACAGGAGACACACACATTATATACTATCCAAAATTTAATAGAACAATCATGTCTGAGAAAATCCTCAGCAGTTCTAACAGAAACCCTTGCTTTTCAAGTGTGAAAATTATTTCTGATGCTATAATTTAATATCCTTAATTAACTTCCTATCAGCAACAACTCATTTGCTAAGCGGTACTCTCTTCTGATTTCCAAAGGGAACTGAGGTATAGCAGAAGGCACATCCACTAAATAAGGAACAGCTGGAACCCTGGTGACATTAGATTTGAGTGGCCTAGTTGCTAGTGTAAGAGTTTAAATGGGAGTCTCAATAGTTTAAGAAGATGCCACTACAGTTGAGGTTGGCAGTCCCTCCCCAGGTTGCATGCTCAACCCAAACTGCATCTCAAGGCTGAAAACCAACAACCCACAAGCTTTCCTCCTGTAGGCATTCAAATTCAGAGAGAGATCCAAAGCCCATGCTTGGCAGAGAGATAACAGACTAGTTGGGTTTTACTATCATTACTAACAACCATCTGAAGCCAAACTTTCTGTTTCTTATTCAAAGATCTCAATTTTAGTAGTTTATGCTAGAAACTATAGGAGTTGTCAAAGGAACAATTCCTATTATGGCTAATCACCCAAAAAGGACAACTAAAATGAACAAACAATGAAAAGCATATATTTAAATTACACACCAGTTAAATAAATGATATACATCTTCATGATGGAATATCATGTAGCCATATTAAGGAAATATTAAGAAAAGATATTCTTAGACAGTGGAAATAGTCAGTATCTGCTATCCTGCTTGTTTTGAAAATGTGAATTCATGCCACTGTGATCAATGTATTAGGGAACAATATGACCATAACACAAATTTCACATTTGCTTATGTGTGATGTTGTTCATGAGAAACACCAGATAAACATAGAAAACTGCACCCAACTGAACTAAGCTGCATAGGAATACACAAACAGCTATCGCAGTTCACCACATGAACTCATGTTATGAGCCACACCTATCCCCATTTGGTGTTACACCTGCCCACCTACTATCAGATAACCCTCCTTCCTTCACTTCACAATAACTCAGAAGCTGCAATCCTTCTGAAGCCCACTTCTATAGGAAACTTCCTACCTTTTTCAAGATAGTACTTACATTATTTCTTAACCAATAAACGTATAAAATTGTACAACTGTTTTATTAGATTCATATCTTTTTTTTTTAATGTCACTGCAGAAGTTCTTGAGTGTCATTTCCCTAACCCCATTTTCCACATAAGCTCTGTGGTTTTTATTGTGTGATTTTGCATAGTGCAGTGATTTTTAGAAATGTAAGTGTTACATTACAGAACTAACTATTATGTCCAATTGATAATTTAAAAAAGCAAACTGCAGATTAGTATATATAGTATAATCCCATCTTATTAAAAACATATATTTCATGTGTCTACAGATATGTATGCATACTCATCAATGCTTACAGAAAAGTCTGGAAGAACCTCCTGCAAACAGTTAATAGTGTGGTATCTCTGAAGGCAAGAATATGAGAGACTGTCACTTTAAACTTTAAGTATATTTTTGTTTGATTTAGATACAATGAATTTGGATTACTTCTGCAATTTTAAAAATTCCTTTTAAAAAACAAACAATATTTCCAATACTAGAAGTACAGAAAAGAGTGATCATTACACCATTTGATTATATCATCGCCCTGCTTAACATGTTAAGTGCCCAGTCAGTCACCGGGTGACTGACACTATACTTTCCATCCAGAAGACAAAACAGGCTGGGTGCTTAACATATTAAAATTCTCAATACTTGAATGCAAAGTTCTCAATATTTATGAAGGACCTGGCCCCTCCTACCTTCTCCAGCTTCATCCCTCACTGTTCTTCCCCTCATTTATATATTCAATTAAAATTTATTTAGAATCTTCCATATGCAGGCACTGGGGATAAAGCAGTGAAAATTAGATACAAATCCCACTCTCATATAACTTAGAATCTAACAAGGGAGAGACTTTAACCAATAACAAAACTGTACTTAAAATTGCTTAATAAGAAATGTGACATTAAAAAGGGAAAACAGGCAGGCTCAGGGATCGGGAAAAGCCTCCCTGGAAATGGAAGTGATACTTATGCTGAGGATTTAGGATACGTTAAGAATGGGACTGATAAAAAGGGAAGAGCATTACAGACAGAATGTGCAACAGCCAAAGGGCCAAAAGAGAGCTTGGGCCCTTCAAGGAAGAAGTCAGTATGGCTGGAGAACAAAAGAAAAAGGAAGAGAGGTATAAGATAAGGTTAGAAGCAGCAGAAGCTAAATTATGTGGGGCCCATAGAACATGCAAAGAATTTTGCACCTAATTCTAAGAGCAAACAGATACAATTAAAGGCTTTCAAGAAGGGAAATGACATGATCCGAAATGTGCATTCAGAAGCTCATTTGGGTTACTGTCTAAAAAGAAAGGCCTAAGGAGGGCCAGGAATAAATGTGGAAATGACACTAGGAACTTCTTTCAATAGCCTGTGGATTACTAAAATGATAGCCTGGACTAGGATGGTGGGAGTGGAAACAGAGAAAATTAAATGGGTTCAAAATTCTGTTAGTAGGTACATTCAACAGCTCTTGGTATTGACTGGATGTGGGGATACAGGAAAGGAAGGGATAAAGAATGACTCAAGTCTGTAGCAACAGCACTTCTCACATCCTAGCCTCCAGCCATACTGAACTACTTGCAGTTCCCTAAGCCCTCATGCCTCTTTCAAGCCTCAGAGTGGAAATGCCCTTACATCATCCTTCAGCTGCAAAATGCTTCCTCATCTCAGCCTTCCCTAACCATGCCCAGGTTAGGTGCTCTAATTGCGTGCTCCTGCAGCTTCTCACACTTGCCTGTTTCATAGCACTTGGCACACTGCATTATGATCATACTAGAGGCCTGTTGCACAAAATTCGTGTGAGGGGAAGGGGGAAGGGTGTCCCTCAGCCTGGCCTGTGCCCTCTCACAGTCCCTCAGGGGATGTCCGCCTGCTGACGAGGAATCTCTCACCCTCTTTCAGGTTAAACCCTTCACTTGTGCTCTGAACCCTACTTCCTTCCCATCCTCTGCAAGGACCTCTCCCTGCCATCTATTTCCTTTCTTTCTGAGATCTTTAATCTATTTATCATTGTTTTCTCCTCAAGTAACTGAATCAACTCTCATCTATAAAAAGATATCTTTGCCTGACCAGCATAGCTCAGTGGTTGGGTGTCAACTTATGAAACAGGAGGTCACAGTTCGATTCCTGGTTTTGGACTCGATCCCCAGTGGGTGGTGTGCAGTAGGCAGCTGATCAATGATTCTCATCATTGATGTTTCTATCTCTCTCCCTCTCCCTTCCTCTCTCTGGGATCAAAAAAGCTTTTTTTTTTTTAAAGATACTTTCAAATATCTTTATCTCTGACCTAGACTACTCTCCTTAGCTTCAGATATCCGTTAGCCTCTAAAACTCTCTAGTTCAATGTCCTACAGAAATTCCAACATGCCCAAAACTAAACTTAGGCTCTTTCTCCTAAAACCAACTCCACTAAAACCAACTTTATTCCCTGTCTCAGAGAAAGGACCATCATCCACCCAGTTTCTAAGTCAGAACATCCAGTGCTACTTTTATTTTATTTTAAGTTCTTTTAAATTGATTTTTAGAGAGAGGGGAAGGGAGAGGGATAGAGAAATAGAAACACTGATGAGAGAGAAACATCATCCATTGGCTGTCTTCTGCACACCCCCTACTGGAGACTAAGCCTGCAACCCCAGCATGTGCCCCATCAGGAATCAAACCAATGACCTCTTGGTTCTTGGGTCAATGTTCAACCACTGAGCCACACCAACTGGGCCAGGTGCTACTTTTAACTCCCTCTTCTCCCCTAGCTTCTCATGTCATTCAGCTAATAAAGACCAGTGCTCACCTTTGGATTCTACCTCCTTAATTTACCTCATATCTACTCACATCTCCCCATCTCCAATGCCATTTCCTGGTTCAGATCCTTTTCACATGTTAGATTATTATAGCATCCTCCTACTATTCTTATTTCTAATCTTACTCTTCAACAAATTTTCACAAGCAACCAGAGTTATATTTCTAAAATACATATCTGACATGTTATTTCCCTACTTAAAGCATTCAATAGCTAGCTCTCCACTACCTTTAGGATAAAGGTCAAATATTTACTGCATGATCCTTCAAGATCTGGTCCCAGCTTACGCCACCACCCACTCTACTATGAATTTTATTCTCAAGGCACAATGAACAGCTATGCTCTCTCCCCGTTACTTCACCAAAATCCCATACAGAATCCTAAAGCATCATAATGATGGCTCAAACCCAAAGCAGCAAAAAATTCTTATCCTATACTAAGTAAATATTCATTTAAAATAATTACTTTTACAAAATTCTACAGTACCACATAGTGGTGAGAGAGGGAAGCGCATAATAGAGATAAAGGAAGTGTGGTGAGGTAACTGTACAGTGCCTCATAGCTGTGTGTACCAGGACACCCACACTTAGCTCATCTTGCTGATTATATCCCTCCAGGAACTTACATCACTGGGGCTCAGGCTGCCCAGCCCATTCTCCTGCTCAGAATCCTTCCCAGACTCAGTGCCCTGAGAGGACCGGGGATTGGATGGATGAATCCAGATCTCCAGGCGAGTAGTGTCATCTCCAACATGCCGGAAAGTAGATTTCCTTCCTTTCCGCCACTGGTCAGGGTTCAGTTCCGATTCCTCGTGTTGCTTTTTTTCCATCTGTTCTGCCTATACAGCATACAAACATACAAGCTCAGACTCTTCTGGGATTCAGTTAATAAAGACAAGTGCTCACCTCATCTGAGTATGTTGACCAAGAACTATAAAAAGTAAAAATTTTGCCATAGTTCCAAAATAGCACAGCTTTAAAAAAAAAAAAGGGGGGAGGGAGAGGGCAGAGTACCATCTGCTTTGTCACATAAAAGTTACTGATTCTATAAACTAGATGCTATGGAACATGCACATTCAAGGACCCCAGAGAGTTCTTCTAAAGATGAGTTTGGTTCTGCATAGGGACTGACTCCCATCAGCACAGCCCCCTTGAGCAAATTTTTAGTCATTCCCTGAAGAACACAGAGGCACTAAGAGAAACACATTCTCCTAGGAAGGAATGATCCTGCCTGCATCCCCACTCACCTTTCGTTTGGTCTCTTCAAACAAGCTCATGAGACTCTCCTTGGCAGTCAGGATAGGGTTGCTGGCAGCTAAACTGCGCATATAGTAATACACAGCATCAAGCTTCCTCCTCTGTGGAAAGAGGCCAGAGACACTGAGTCAACCAAGTTCTTTTCTGAGTCCAGCCTAAATCACCTGACCCAAGAAACCCTAATATCTCACCCAAACTGTGCCCCAAGCTGTAATTCCAGTAAGAAAATGAGAATGTTATCCATGGAAGAAGCCACGGCAATTACATCAGAAAGATCTCTTCTTGCGCAATACCTTATATGCGGAGGTGCTCTAAGAGCCAAGTACTCATAAGGGGGGAAAAAATAAAGAGCTCATAAAATATAAAAGTCAATTATGTTTTGTTTTTAAATAAAAAATGTTCAACTCGCTTAATCCGTTTGGCTCAGCAGATAGAGCGTTGGCCTGCAGAATCAAGGGTCCCAGGTTCGATTCCGGTCAAGGGCATGTACCTTGATTGCAGGCACATCCCCAGTGGGGAGTGTGCAGGAGGCAGCTGATCGATGTTTCTCTCTCATCGATGTTTCTAACTCTCTATCCCTCTACCTTCCTCTCTGTTAGGAATCAATAAAATATATTTTTTAAAATAATGTTCAACTCCCCTAATAATTTATAGTTTTTTAAAAATTATTAATAATAACGGCAATATTAAGCATAACTAAATATGAGGTAAGTGATCAGCACTTCATAGATATTATCTCAAAAACCTAAGGATACTGCCACATATTTATATACCTAAAAGAATTGAAAGCAGGATCTTGAATAGGTATTTATACACTCATGTTCACAGCAGCATTATTCACAATGCCCAAAAGGTTGAAGTGTCCATTGAGAGATGAATAGATAAACAAAATGTGGTATATACATTCAACTGAATATTATTTCGCCTTAAGGAGGAAATTCTAATACAAGCTGTAACATGAACGAACCTTGAAGATATAATGCTAAGTGAAATAAATCAGTCACAAAAAGATAAATACTATATGATTCCACTTATATAAGGTACTGAGTGTGGACAAATTCATAGAAACAGAAAGTAGAAGAGTAGTTGCCAGTGGCTGGAAGGAAGGGAGAGTGGGGAGTAGCTGCTTCATGGGTATAGAGTTCCAGTTTTGTAAGATGAGGAGAGTTCTGAAAATCGTTTGAACAACAATGTGAGTGTACTTAGTATTACTCAACAGTACACTTAAAAATGGGTAAGATGGCCCTGGTCAGTGGCTCAATGGTTAGAGCATCAGACCACACACCAAAAGGTCATGGGTTCGATTCCCAGTCAAGTGCACATACCTGGGTTGAAGGTTCGATCCCTGTCCCCGGACGGGGTGCATGTGGGAGGCAACCAATTGATGTGTCTCTGTCACATCAATATTTTCTGTCTTCCCGCCCCTCTCCTTCCCTTCCACTCTCTTTCTTTAAAAAAAAAAGACATATCAAGCCATGAAAATAAACCTAAATTCATATTGGTAAGTGAAAGAAGCCAATCTGAAAAGATAATATCCTGTATGGTTCCAATTATGTGGAATTCTGGAAAAGGCAAAACTATAGAGGCAGTAAAAATATCAGTGATTGTCAGAGGTTCAGGGGATGTAAGAGGGACAACAGGTGGAGGGTGGAGCACAGGCTATTTTTAGGGCAATGAAACTATTCTGTATGATACTATTAATGGTAGATACATGTCACTATTCATTTATTTGTTCAAACCCATAAAAAGTACAGCAGTTAAATTGAACCTTAATGTAAACTATGGACTTTAGTTAATAATAATGTATCAATACTGGCTCATCAATTATAATAAATATAGTACACTTATGTAAGATGTTAATAATAGGGAAAATTGAGGGGGAAGAGAAAGTTGAGAGAATATATGGGAACTCTGTACTTTTTGCTCAATTTTTCTATAAAGTTAAACTGACCAAAAGAAATAAAAATAAAAGCTATTAAAGAAAAAAAAAAATCCCCAAGTTGGGGAAGGGGGAAAGTCACAATAAGATATTACTTCACACCGTCCAGCCAGCGTGGCTCACTGGTTGAGCATCAACCTATGAACCTGGTGGTCACGGTTAGGTTCCTGGAGGGTGTGCAGGAGGCAGCTGATTGATGATTCTCTCTCATCACTGATGTTTCTCTCTCTCTCTCTCCCTTCCTCTCTGAAATCAATTTTTAAAAAAAGATATTACCTAACAGGGTGGTCATATTCAAAAAAAGAAAAGAAAAATAACAAATGCTGGCAAGATTGTGGAGAAATCAAAACCCTGGTACATTGCTGGTGAGAATGTAAAAGGGTACAGCTGCTATGAAAGAGTTAAACATAGAATTATCATATGACCCAGCAATTCCATTCCTAGGTACAGACCCAAAAGAACAGAAAACAGATATTCAAACAAACACTTCATAAAAAACACTGTTCACAATAGTTAAAAGGTGGAGACAATCAAAATGTTCAACTGATAAATGAATAGTAAAAGCATTGAATAAATAAAAGTGTTATATCCATACAATGGATATTATTCATCCATAAAAATTAAGTACTGATATGTTGCAACATGGTCAAAAACTTGGTGATAAATGAAAGAAGCCAGATATAAAAGGTCATGTACTGTATGATTCCACTTACATGAAACATCCAGAATAGGTAAATCCAGGGACAGAAAGCAGACTAGTCGTTGCCAGAGGCTGGGGCTTGGGAGGCATGGGGAGGAATGGATATGGAGTTTTCTTATATGGTAATGAAAATGTTTTGGAACCAGACAGAGTTAGTGATTGCACAATGCTGTTAATGTACTAAATGCCACTGGATTGACAAAAAATTATTTACAAATACCTGTAAATGATTTTATGTTATATTAATTTTACTGCAATTTTTAAAGCCATTGAGGAAAGATTATATTTTCTAATTAACAAGAAACATAGCAATTCATTCAATTACAAAGAAGAAAAACTAGAAAAGAAGACAAGAAATGAGAAAGAAGGAAAAACAGAAGATAGATGAGAAAGGAGAAAAATAAAGCCACAAAGGGGCGTGAAAAAAAAAAACAGATCACAAAGAGAACAAGGCATGCTCTCACTTTTGGGAGATGCCTGTACCTTTCCTGTGCCCCTCTTTGTCAGGGGGCGAAGGGGGTGGGAGGTAGGGGTGGGGGGTGGGGGGAGGGTGTTACCTTGCCTTGCCCTCTCCTAAGTTCGAGGGCCTTTCTTTTGCTTCGGTAACTTATATCCTGAACCTACGCAGCCTAGCTAGCTCAGTTCTACTACCTCTGAAACTTTCTAAATAAACTTCCTCTTATAATTTGAGTTCTTGGCTCTGAAATCTTTCTTTGCTCGTCTCAGGAACCAAGGCCCAATTTCACCACCAATAACACTTCCAAAGAAGTATCTATCTTCAGGCCTTCCACCACGGCCTGGAAATGACCTCACTCAAATGAAGATAGTTCCTTGGACTGTGCTCAAGCTTCCCCATAAAAGCCCCGCTGAAAGAAAAAACCAACAAATCAACAAACAAAAACAACAAAGAGAACAGGAAGGAGGTAAAAAGTGAAGAGAGATTCAATCTATTCTGAAGGAGTGTATCAGTAAACCACATTACTTAACAATTTCAATCCATAATTATTAGGCATGTCTTTGAATCTTTTGTGAAATAAAGGGGAATAAAAATTACTAACTCAAACATTATTTGGGCAATGAATTAACAGCAATGAATTACAGCATTTGGGCAATGAATTACAGCATTAACAAAACTCTCCCTGATAATGATCTTGTTAGCTGCTTCTTATACTAGAACAGGGGTGGGCAAACTTTTTGACTCGAGGGCCACAATGGGTTCTTAAACTGGACCGGAGGGCCGGAACAAAAGCATGGATGGAGTGTTTGTGTGAACTAATATAAATTCAAAGTAAACATCATTACATAAAAGGGTACGGTCTTTTTTTTTTTTTCGTTTTATTCATTTCAAAGGGGCCGGATTCGGCCCACGGGCCGTAGTTTGCCCACGGCTGTACTAGAACCTTTGGTACCTACCATTGGTCCCCACCCTTTCTCCTTCCTTCAGCTTCCTCACTAGGAGCTGTCAGATCCCAAGGTTCTCTGTTAGAGCCACACTTAGAGGAGTTTGGTAAGATCCAGAGAAGTATGAGTTGGCATTTACTGTGTTTCTGCTAAGGAGACTCCTTAGGTGAAAAGCTAAGAGGAATAAGGGAATGATCTAAAGAAAGGAAACAAGGATCTGAGTACCTGGGGCTACTTGAGGACTTTAAGAGGGAAAGGGAAAGGGAGCTTTATTTTCCTTCCAGAAATAAGTAACCTAGTTCAACGAGATAGGGAAGGGAAGCAAGGCAAGATTCAGAGCAGAAGCCTTGGTCAAAAACAGTGCTTTGGCTGGAGCATGAACATTCCCCAGGGAACTTAATTGCAATGAAAGTAGATGAAGTATAGATCCCTGACAACTTATCTCTAAAAGTAACAGTAACAGCCGAAACCGGTTTGGCTCAGTGGATAGAGCGTCGGTCTGTGGACTGAGAGGTCCCAGGTTCGATTCCGGTCAAGGGCATGTACCTGGGTTGCGGGCACATCCCCAGTGGGAGATGTGCAGGAGGCAGCTGATCGATGTTTCTCTCTCATCGATGTTTCTAACTCTCTATCTCTCTCCCTTCCTCTCTGTAAAAAATCAATAAAATATATATTTAAAAAAATAAATAAATAAATAAATAAAAGTAACAGTAACAAAAGAAGCTTGAGGATGGAAGACATAAGGGAATATACTTTGTATTCTAGCTAAATAGATGAAATCTAGCTCCAGAAGCTGATGCTGTCAAAATCTGTATTTCTAAGATACTGCCTGCAAAATTCTTCCCCTCTCCACAGGATTTCTTACCGTATACACTGCCAGCAGAGCCAGCTGGTTATAGGGGCGCCCATTCTTGGGAGCAATGTGCTGGGCCTTCAGGTACCAACTGGAATAAAAAAACAGTTTTAAAAATGCTAGTCCCATATCAACCCTTTCCCAATTCATCACATGATAGTCCTTACTACTTAAGACATAAGCTTTATTGTTAGATGTAACCCTGAAGTGGTAAAGTTTGGCTAAAGAGACCAAAAAGGACACTTGAAGGACATCCGTATAGAAGCTCAGGTAACCCATTGCTCTTAATAGGGCTTAGCTTAAAGCCACATAGGGAGAGAAGCAAATGAACAAGAGGCAAAAGTACCTGCGTGCTTTCCCGTAGTTTGTTGTGTCATTGGCTTGTTCCCGATACCTAGCAATATCTCCTTGACAAATCATACATCGCTGGGCACTGATCAAGGCATATTTTACCTTCAGGAAAAATAATCAGTTAATAGCATACCCAAGAAACTCTAACTTCAACCCCAAAGTACAGGGAAGGGGCCAAAATGACAGAGCAGCATCAAGGCACTAGTAGTCCTCAACAAAGTAAAAAGTTTTCAAGTCTAACCTTGACTAGCAAAAAGAAAATAGCCAACAGTGTGATAAAAAAAATTTACTGAGAAAAAGTAACAGAAGGAAGAGGGGCCATTTTTTTTTTTAATCCTCACCCAAGGATTTGTTTTTATTAATTTCAGAGAGAGGAGAAGGGAGAAGAGAGAGGCAAAGGGAGGCAAGCACATCAATGTGAGAGAGAAACATTGATTGGCTGCCTCCCATACACGCCCTGACTAAGGATCAAACCTGAAACCTAGGTATGTGCCCTGACCGGAAATTGAGCCTACAACCTTTTGGTGTATGGGATGATACTCCAACAAACTAAGCCACCTAGCGAGGGCGAGAGGAGCTCATTCTTATTTCAAGTCCCAGGCAAATGGAAGAAAATATTCTGAAACTAAGAGTCAGGAGGCCTGACTCTCCATGTAATAGTTGTGTGATCTTAAGTAGGTTTTTGGGACTCAGTTTCTTCATTTGAATGTAAAAAACACCTATTCCATAGGGTAATTGAAGGAAATAAATATAAAATACTTCACAAATTTTAAAGCGATATACAGACCCTGGCTGGATAGCTTAGTTGGTTAGAGTGTCATCCCGATATGCCAAGGTTGTGGGTTCAATCCCCAGTCAGGGCACATACAAGAATCAACCCAGGAATGCATAAGTAAGTGGAACAACAAAAATTGATGTTTAACCCCAGTTTGATTCCTGGTCAGGGAACATGCCTCGATCCCCAGTAGGGGGCATTCAGGAGGCAGACAATCAATGATTCTCATCATTTATGTTTGTATCTCTCCCTCTTCCTTCCTCTCTGAAATCAATAAAAATATTTTCTTAATTTTTTGATGTTTCTCTCTCTCAAATCAATAAATAAAAAAATAAAGTGATATACAAATATTAAGACAATTACTTACTGTTCTCTTTCTCGCCTCAAACTGTTAATATCACCACATTGTGTTACTGCATTACATCCCCTTTGCAAAATAACAGTTCCCTAAACAGTAAGTTACCCTTTACCAAATGTGCCAGGACTGTGTAGTTACATACATACTAGAGGCCTAGTGCACAAAATCTGTGCACTCGGGCGGGGAGAGGGGGGGCCTCAGCCTGGCCTGTGCCCTCTCGCAGTCCAGGAGCCCTCGGGGGATGTCTGACTGATGGCATAGGGAGCAGGCCTAAGCCATCAGTAGGACATCTTTAGTGTTGCCGCGGAAGCGGGAGAGGCTCCCGCCACCACCACTGCACTCCCCAGCTGTGAGCCCAGCTTCTGGCTGAACAGAACTCCCCCTGTGGGAGCACACTGACCACTGGGGGACAGCTCCTGCGTTGAGTGTCTGCCCCCTTGTGGTCAGTGTGTGTCATAGCGACCAGTCATTCTGCCGCTCAGTCGATTTGCATATTAGCCTTTTATTATATAGGAGGACTAGAGACCTGGTGCACGAATTCATGCATGGGTGGGGTCCCTCGGCTTGGCCGGCGATTGAGGCCAATCAGGGCCGCAGGAGGTTGGCAGGGGGAGGGGCCGCAAGAGATTGGCTATGGGTGCGCACTGACCAGTTGACCGGTCATTCGGTCATTTAGGCTTTGATAGATAGATAGATAGATAGATAGATAGATAGATAGATAGATAGATAGATAGATGATAGATAGATGTGTGTGTGTGTGTGTTTGTGTGTGTATGTATATTAAAACAGAGTAAACCCTCAGCAATCCTAAGACATGTGCCCAACCTAAAAACCTCACTGAGGAACATCACTTCATAACATGTAATTCCACTCCACCCCACACATAAGAAATTACAGTGTCCCTGAACAAAAAACAAAGCTTCAAGGACAAGTACATAACGAACCCTCAGGAAGGCTCATTTACTAGCTAAATAACTAGCTCCTGCACACCAACCTCCTAATACATAACTCAAACATGTGCCTCAGCAAAGTTATATATCACTGTCATCCACCTTCAGAGTCCTGACTATCCTACACATTATATGAATGAACACTAAAAACCCTTGGTATTTAACTGATTAAGCACCAAGAAAACTAGTTATATCTCCATACTACAGCCACTTTGCTGTCTCAATGAGGGGAAGAAAAAAAATTGCCAAAGGCTCTCCACTATCCTCACAATGAAATCCTAGATGATCAAGCCTCTGCTCATTTATTCAGCACCATTACCCCCCTTATTCTCTGTGCCATATCAAACTAGACTTCTCAGTCCCGCTAACACACCATGCTCTTTCCCACTTCAGGACCTTCACATATATTGTTCCCAATCTCTAGAATGTTGTAGTTCTTGCATCTTCACATACCCCTTCACCTAGCTAATGCCTCAGGTGTTTAGCCTCAGCTTAACTGTGACTTCCTCAGTCCTCCATGATCCTCTAAGCCAGCGGTTCCCAACCTGGGGGTCGAATGACCCTTTCACAGGGGTCTCCTAAGACCATCGGAAAACACACATATAATTACATATTATTTTTGTGATTAATCACTATGCTTTAATTATGTTCAATTTGTAACAATGAAAATACATCCTGCATATCAGATATTTACATTACGATTCATAACAGTAGCAAAATTACAGTTATGAAGTAGCAACGAAAATAATTTTATGGTTGGGGGTCACCACAACATGAGGAACTGTATTAAGGGTCACGGCATTAGGAAAGTTGAGAACCACTGCTCTAAGCCCTTTTACAGTGTATACCGCCTCCCTCCCCCCCCCCCCGCCTCAACACACACACACACACACACACACACACACACACACACAATCCTTTGCAGAAGTCACTGCAACTGCAATTACTAATCCAACATCTGCACTCACCCCTAATCAAACTCTAAACTTTAAGAGCTGGGATCATGGCTTTCTTGTTTCACAATGAATTAATTGTGTGTGCCTAGAATGGCACCTGGCATGTAGGAGGGACCCAAATACTTGCCGATTAGTAATAGAGCTTACGCATAGTAATTCATCAGAAGGAGCAGAAAGGCAAGAAGAAGCCGTTACTCCATAAATCGCACCCCTTTCTCTAATGAATCTTTTAACCTCTTCCTTTTCCCCTGGCTCTTTCTTCTCTACACATAAATATGCTCCAGTATCTCACAGCTTAAAAAGAAACAAAGTTCTCTTGAGACTATGTTCTCTTTTAATACTATCTCCCCTCCTTGCCTTCATAGCCAAGACTCTTAAAAAGAATGGCCTATGCCGAAACCGGTTTGGCTCAGTGGATAGAGCGTCGGCCTGCGGACTGAAAGGTCCCAGGTTCGATTCCGGTCAAGGGCATGTACCTGGGTTGTGGGCACATCCCCAGTAGGAGATGTGCAGGAGGCAGCTGATCGATGTTTCTTTCTCATCGATGTTTCTAACTCTCTATCTCTCTCCCTTCCTCTCTGTAAAAAATCAATAAAATAAAAAAAATAAAAAAAAAAAGAATGGCCTATATTACTCTCATTATATGTACTACCCCACTTCTCATTTACTACAATCTGGCTTCCATCCTCTCCAATTAAAATAACTGGTGGGTGATAAGGTCATCCAATTCAATGAACACTTTTTAGGAATCTTAGTATTTGACGACTCTATAGCACTTGACACCTGACAATTTTTTTTTTTTTGAGCTTGGAAGGTTTTATTTCTTTAAAAAACATTGAAAAATAAACCCATGTCTGCATCTGTTCCTTTCTCTAAGCTTTCAGGTGGCGAGTGAAGTGGGCACCCTCAGAGCTCAGCACTTCCCTGGAGACCTCTTGTGTGGCCAAAGCCGGGAGAGCTGCCCCTTAAGTCTCAGCTGCTGTCAAGCCCCAGGGGACTCTCGGTCCCCTCCCCCCTCCAGCTCCTCCCTACCTCACCCCAGACTTATTGCTAAAAGAAGGGAAGAGGAAGAACCGCCAACAGGCCAAAATGTCCTCCCCCACCCCCCAAGCTACAATCAGGACCCCCTCTACACAAAGGCTAGGGCCAAAAGGCCAAACTCCAGCTGACTAGGAGGCAGCCACTGCGCCCCTCCAGGAAGAGCAGTGCCCTCAGGCCAGCTCAGAGGCCCTGGGCCCTGAGCCCCACCCCGGTTGGGCTGTGGGAGATGGGCCAGCTGCCAGACGGTCAGAACTGCTGGTCTGCCCAAGATGGTCAGCAGCTGTGGGTCTTTGAAAGACCTGGCAAGAGTTCTAGTCCCTTCTGTCGTCAGTGAAGCCAGGGGTGCCCAACACATCCAGCAAAGGTGTTCTGGAGCCTCTGGGTGGAGGGCTTCAGGGCTCAGAGTGAGGGGAGCACTTGACAATTTTATCCACCACCTTGAAATCTGATAACCGAACTCTCTGTCCAGCCATTCCGTCTCCCAATTTCTGCTTCAATTATCAACTATATATTGATGACTCCTCCATCTATATCACCAGCCCACCTCTTTGTCCTGAGCTCCAGACTGATCAGAATATTCATTTGTTCATTTTCAAGCTCCTCCACCTAAACATATCCAAAACTGAACTACCCTTTTCCTTTCCACCCACTCTCCTAGGCCACAAACTGGGAGATGATCTAGACTCCTCATGTCTCTAATCTCATCAGTCACACCAAATTATCTAGTAGTCCAAGTCTATTTTCCTTATATTCTTCTAATCTGTTTCCTCTTTTCTACCTCCAATATCTCTACCTTCATTCAGGGCCACAACTTGACTCTCCTACCTCCACTCTTGCCCAAACTCATCTATTTCCCAGAATGACTGGCTGTAAAAATGAATCTATGATATCCATTTGTTAGAAATCAATCAATGTTTCCTCAGTGCTTTCAGAATAAAGTCAAAACTCTCCAGCATCATGCATATAAGCATAACCAATGGACATAAGACACTGGGGGGTAGGGGAGGCCAGGGGATTGTCAAGGGCGGGGGGAAAAAAAAGGAGACATACGTAATACTCTTTGTAATACTTTAAGCAATAAAAAAAAAAAAAAAAAAAAAAAGAGAGATGCCGAAACCCGTTTGGCTCAGTGGATAGAGCGTCGGCCTGCGGACTGAAAGGTCCCAGGTTCGATTCCGGTCAAGGGCATGTACCTGGGTTGTGGGCATATCCCCAGTGGGAGATGTGCAGGAGGCAGCTGATCGATGTTTCTCTCTCATCGATGTTTCTAGCTCTCTGTCTCTCTCCCTTCCTCTCTGTAAAAAATCAATAAAATATATTTTTTAAAAAAAATTTTTTAAAAAAAGAGGAAAAAAAACCAAAAAACTCTCCAGCAAGATTTTATGATCTATCCCTTTCTACTTCATTAGCCTTATCTCCTGTACAGCCCAATTCCACATTACATACACCAGCATATTGAACTTCTTCCACTTTTCCAACAAGGTTTGATTCTCTCTCACTGTGCCCTGCATTGAAACTGCCCCTCTGCGGTTACTCATGTTTCGAAACTCAACTTGACAGTCTCTATAAAGCCTTCCTTGACCCTATCCATCTAAATCAGATCTACTTCTGCCCAGCCAGTGTTGCTCAGTGGTTGAGCGTCTAACCAAGAACCAGGAGGTTATGGTTCGTTTCCTAGTCATGGCACATGCCGGGGTTGTGGGCCCAATCCTCAGTAGGGGGCGTGCAGGAGGCACCCGATCAATGATTCTCTTTCATCATTTATGTTTCTATCACTCTCTCCTTCCCCCTTCCTCTCTCTGAAATCAATAAAAAACATGTTTAATTTTTTAAAAACTTTAAAATAAATAAAAATAAATCAGATCCACTTCCTCCTATGCCCCTTCGACACTGTATATGTACCATCATAGTACTTATAACTACAATACAAACCATTTTAAAAAATCAAACACTTAGAGGCTGAATAGCATGCTATTAAACAATGACTGGGTTACCAAAGAGATCAAAGAAAAATAAAAAGCATCCTGGGAACAAATGACAACGAAAACAACAATTCAAAATTTATGGGACACAGTGAAAGCAGTCCTGAGAGCGAAGTTCATAGCTCTACAGGCCTATCTCAGAAAACGAGAAAAAATGGTAATAAATTATCTAACCCTACAACTCAAAGAATTAGAGAGCAACAAGAAAAGCCCAGAGTAAGCAGAAAGAACGAATAAAGATCAGAGCTGAAATAAATGACACAGAAACCTAAATAAATAAATAAATAAAACCAATACAAAAGATCAATAAAACCAAGAGTTCTTTGAAAGGATAAACAAGACTGCTAAACCTCTAGCCAGGCTCACCAAGAAACAAAGAGAGAGGACCCAAATAAACAAAATCAGAAAAGAAAGAGGTGAAGTAAGAACTGACCCCACAGACATACAAAGTATTATTAAAAAATACTACAGCCCTAGCCGACTTGGTTCAGTGAATAGAGCGTCAGCCTGCGGACTGAAGGGTCCCGGGTTCGATTCCAGCCAAGGGCACATGCCTGGGTTGCAGGCTTGGTCCCCAATGGGGGGCGTGCAGGAGGCAGCCGATCAGTGATTCTCTCTTATCATTGATGTTTCCGTCTCTCTCTCCTTCTCCCTTCCTCTCTGAAATCAATAAAGAAATATATTTTTTAAAAAAATACTACAAACAACTCTACTCCAACTGGACAACCTAGACAAAATGAACATATTCCTAAAAAAATACAATCTTCAAAAACTCAATCAGGAAGAATAAAAAAACCTGAATAGGCTGATAACTACTGATGAAATTGAAGCAATAATCAAAAAACTTCCAACAAACAAAAGCCCTGGTCCACACAGCTTCATAGGGGGACTTTTACCAAACATTCAAAGACCTAAAACCTATCCTTCTCAGACTATTCCAGAAAATTCAAGAGGAAGGCACACTTCCAAGCTCTTTCTATGAAGCCAGAATTACCCTAATCCCAAAACTAGATAAAGACACTACAAAGAGAGAGAATTACAGGGCAATATACCTGCTGAACATAGATGCTAAAATCCTCAACCAAATTCTAGCAAATCAGATCCAGCATTACATTAGAAAGATCATACACCATGACCAAGTGGGATTTATCCCGGGGATGCAAAGCTGGTAAAATATCTGCAAATCAATAAACGTATTGAGAGACAAAAATCACATATCATTGATGCAGAAAAAGCATTTGACAAAATCCAACACTGTTTCTTGATAAAAACTCTCAGCAAAATGGAAATAGAGGGATTATACCTCAACATAATAAAAGCCTTATATGACAAACCTACAGCCAACATCATACTCAATGGGCAAAAACTAAAACCATTTCCCCTAAGAACAGGAACAAGACAGGGATGCCAACTTTCATCACTCCTGTTCGACATAGTACTGGAAGTGCTAGCAACAGTAATCAGACAATAAGAAGAAATAAAAAGCATACAAAACACCCAGAAATCTATGGCTTTTTTATACACCAATAATGAACTCACAGAAACAAAAAAAATCCCACTTGCCATTACAACACAAAAATTAAGATACTTAGGAATAAACTTAACTAAGGAGGTAAAAAACCTATACTCGGAAAACTACAGGAAATTGAAATAAGAGATAGAGGAAGACATAAACAAATGGAAGAATATACCATGTTCATGGATTGGTAGAATCAACATCATTAAAATGTCCATACTACCCAAAGCTATCTATAAATTCAATGCAATCCCCATTAAAATACCAACAGCAAATTTCACAGACCTAGAACAAACTCTCCAAAAATTCATATGGATCACTGAATAGCTGCAGCGATCCTGAGAAAGAACAACAAAGTTGGAGGGATCACAATACCAGATTTCAAGCTATATTTCAAAGCCATTGTTCTCAAAACTGCCTGGTACTGGCACAAGAACAGACATATAGACAAATGGAACATAACAGAGAATCCAGAAGTCAACCCAAGCCCTTATGCTCAATTAATATTTGACAAAAGAGGCAAGAACATACAATGGAGTCAAGACAGTCTCTTTAATAAATGGTGTTGGGAAAATTGGACAGATACATGCAAAAAAAATGCATCTAGAACGTACACCATACACAAAAATAAACTCAAAATGGATAAAGGACTTAAACATAGACAGGAAACCATAAAAATCTTAGAAGAATCCATAGGCAGCAAAATATCAGACATATGTCATAGCAATATCTTTACCGATATAGCTCCTAGGACAATGGAACTAAGGAGAAAATAAACAAATGGGACTACATCAAAATAAAAAGCTTCTGCACAGCAAAAGAAACCATCAACAAAACAACAAGAAAGCCCACTGCATGGGAGAACATATTTGCCAATGTTATCTCCAATAAGGGTTTAATCTCCAAAATTTACAGGGAACTCATACAACTTTAAAAAAGGAAGATAATCCAATCAAAAAATGAGCAAAGTACCTAAATAGACACTTTTCAGAAGAGGACATACAGAAGGCCAAGAGACATATGAAAACATGCTCAGAGTCACTAATCATCCGAGAGATGCAAATCAAAACAACAATGAGGTGCCATCTCACACCTGTCAGAATGGCTATCATCAACAAATCAACAAACAACAAGTGCTGGCAAGGATGCGGAAAGAAAGGAACCCTCGTGCACTGCTGGTGGGAATGCAGACTGGTGCAGCCACTGTGGAAAACAGTATGAAGTTTCCTCAAAAAATTAAAAATGGAACTCCCATTTGACCCAGTAATCCCACTTCTAAGAATATATCACATGACAATAATTGATTTAATTGCCCTGTAACCCCAATCGGCTGTATCTTTCACTTTTGTAACCTTAACACCTAGCACAGTGCCTAGCACATAACTAACACTAGATAAATGCTTACTAAATAAATGAATAAATTTAGGATAAAGAAACTGGCTTACTGTCTTGCGTAATGGCTTGCTACGAATGGCAAGACCATCCATGTAGTCCTCCAGTTTGAACTTGTAAGTAACCTGCAGCTTTTGAAGCAAACTATCAAAGAAGTCACTACCCTGTAAAGAGAAAAAAATAAGGAATTAAAAAATAAGCTGAATCAGCCAGTTCTAACCAAATCTACCCACCAGAAACTTGGGCAAGTGACCTTTTCACAGTCTACTAATGCTCAGCCATCTGATATAAAGGGGAGCATATACAGCACTAACTAAGCAAAACATAAATTCATAGCATAAGCCACTCTATGATTTTAAAGATATGAACACCTACACACACACTCTTTTCCCCACCCTCCCATCCCCACAACCCCTGGTTAAGATCTTCAGAAAGCTTCCAAGCTCGGAACTAATTCCAATTGTAAGTTATGGTCTCAAGGAAGCAACAGGAGTAAGGTAGGCCTAAACCCAAGAAAAGAGCATACAGTTTTTTGGTCAATGTTCTGTTATGTAGTATTTCATGTGGTAAAAATCCATCACAACTACAGCATGCTGAAGTTTTTTTCCTGTGGACAAAAAATGATGGTTTACCTCATCCAAGAGTTCCAACAGTCTGTTCCGAATCTGTTCTGGGTTATCAACATTCGGATCCTTGAGAAGCTGCCTGAACTTCTCAATCACCTGATAGAAAGCATTCTTCCACAGGATCTGATCCACATTCTGATTATCAGAGAACTCAATATCTAATAGAATACAGCGCTCATATAGCTGCAGCAGTTCAGCTCTGGAATAAAATACATGCAACTTCTAGCTCCAAATACACCACAGAAAAGGCAAGACTCAAGATTTAAGCTTTTTGCAAATTAAATATCTTTCTTAACAGGAAATCCAAAATGCCATCAGGTATAATACTCATTCTAGCCTCCATTCTGCACAGTATAATGCCATTTTAAAAACAGTTATGTCTAGGAAAGTAGTTTTTCCCCATATGCCTGAACCTAAATTTAACAGCTGACATAAGATCTTCACCATAAGTTTTATGGTGTTCATTTCTTGGCATTCTGGAAAGTCTTTCCTTTTCCATTTCCAGATTCCATGTTCTCTTAAGGTTAATTGTTTTTTTCTTAAAGAGAAAGTGAGAAGTATAATAATTTCTAAGACTAGAAACAAAATTTTGTTGTTTTTTTCAATTGTCCCTTCCTTACAAAAATCAATGTGAAAGGGAGGTAACACCCAGTAGCTTACCTAATAAGTTTTCTACTTTCCTCAGCCATAGGAGCCTATACACCTCCCAGCTTATCCCCATTTCCCTCTAGCCAGGATGGAATACACCATACCTAAGCTGAGCCATCTTTTCCAGGCCCTCAGGACTGATGCGGTCCCTGGAGAGCAGGTTGCTGAGCTGCAGTTCCTGGTTATCAGCCACCCGGAGAAGCCTATGTAGTTCTTGTTGCTGCATGTTCCTCATGTGCTGCTCCATCTCCTCAGGACTCATGGTGTTGGCAGGGAGAGGACTACAAACATATTGTCCTGATGGAGTCGGGTAGCCTGGGTAATAAGGTCCTGGGTACACACCATTTGTAGGGCCCACTGGGTACTGCAGAGGGCTATAGCCTGTATAAGGATACTGGGAGGCAGGGCCTGGTGTCCGGGGGTAGTAATAAGGGTTGTCAGAGTTTTGAAACTTATAGTAAGATGCTTGGGCCTGGCGTGAGTCACCCCAAGATGTAGGGCTGACTTCATCATCAGTGTCCAAGAAATGTAGCTGGGGTGTCTGGCTCTTTAGAGCAGGTTTCTGATCAGGATTGTTTGGGTCCCACAATCGTCGAGTGGTGCCTCCTCGGCCCCAACTCCGAGATCCCTTACTACCAGATCCAAATAATAGCCGAGGTCCCAAAGGTGTAGACTCTGGAGAACCAGCTGAATTGACAGTTAGGGTAGTATGGGCAGGCAGAATCAGAATGCCACGGCCACGACCCCGAAGTTCTTGTTTCAGGTTTTTGGACTCCTGCTTCTCAGAGCCTTTGCCCCCACTGCTCAAGCCTTTATCAGGCTTTAACCTATCCACATCCTCTCTGGCTGGCCTCACTATGGGGGAATCTTTGTTCATGGTTTCTGCATCAAAAGTGACACGAAGAGTGCCTCGATTTTCTTTACCGTTGCTTTTCTGCTCTCCCTCCCCACGGCCCGAACAATTTCTTTCTAAATGTTTCTTCCTTTCTGAGCTCCTCCTGGGCCCATCAGACTCATCAATTCTGTCCTCATCTAAGGAGTCAGTTGAGGACATAGACACTTGCTTCTTCAGTCGTGACCTCAACTTGGTCCTATCCTGGCGGCGGCGGCGACATCCATTATCAGTCAGGCCAGACCCCTCAGCACTGTTGTTGCTACCAGCTGAGCTGGTACTGCAAGTGCGGTAGCGGTTCCTTCGTTTGTCTGAGCGGGAATAGCGCTTTGCAGAACCAGGCTTCCCCTGTGCTGGGTCTTCATTCACTTTCTTCATCCCCTCCCCCTTTTCAATCCTTTTTCCTTTTTCTCCCTTTGCAGCCCTTACTCTGTCACAATTTAGGCTCTTTTGTATCTCATTTTTGTCTGGTTTATTCACAACTTCCTCTTTCATTTGCTCCCTACATTCATCTTCCTCTACTTTCAGTTGTTCTACCTGGTTGAGGATTTCTTCCTCATCCATCCTGCTAGTAGATTCTTTGGTAAGAGTCTGCATACGCCTTCCAGGCTGATAGATCTGCATGTCAGGTTTCTTTGTTTTCTTGATAATTCTTAGACTTCGATCCTCTTGTCCAGCAATTCTAGGAGAGGACTCCAGTGCCCGAATATTTTCTGGGTCTACAGGATCATTTTGCTGTTGGTTGTCGAGTTCTTTGCAGACATCTTTGATGAGCTGTGTACCATTTCCAACAGCTGAAGAATCTTTGTCATTAACAATTTCATCCTTAAATTCATCACTCCCAGAGGGTTCTTTGATTTTAGGTTTATTCCTTAGTCGTGAAAGACCAGGCTTATAGATTTCCAGATCAGGGCGTCTATTATCTTTGCGTTGCCTGGGCTCCTTCATGATTTCTGTGATGTTGGAGGGTATTGGGGAGGAAAGAGTAGAAGAAAAGAATAAAGAAGGTGGGAAGGGGGTAAAATGTCATTCTGGTGAAGTAACAGAAAAGTCAAGCAAGAATTACACATCAAAATGCTATTATTGGTCCTGGCTGGGTAGCTCAGTTGGTGAGCGTTGTCCCCGATACGCCAAGGTTGTGGGGCACATACAAGTATCAATGAATAAATGCATAAATAAGTGGAACGACAAATCGAAGTTTCTCCCCCACCCCCCCGTCTCTCTAAAATAAATAAAACTTTTAAAATGTTATTATTGATTAACAAGGAAGGAAATTCCTGCAGAAACAGAAATTCTACTAAGTTTACAATATTTGTTCAGCAACTGACAAAGCTAAGAACTTAACTGTGAACTCATGGAAACAGACAATAGTGCAGTGAAGGCCTGGGGAGGGGGCGGGGGCAGAGTGGAGGGGGCTAATGGGGAGTGGTGGGAGAGTGGACATCTATAATACTTTCAACAATAAAGATAGTTTGTTTGCTTGTTTTAAAAAAACCTTTTTTCTTTCTTTTAAACCTAGCAATAAACTTGGTTGCTTTTTCTCAACAATAAAGATAAATTTTTTTTTAAAAAAAGGGAGGAAGTGGGAGCAGGGAGAAGGTCAATGGGGAAATAAAAGGGTACAACTGTAATACTTTCAACAACAAAGATAATAAATATTTTAAAAAGAACTTAATTGTGTTGGAGTTACCTACACCTGAAGTAAGGAAACAAGAAAAAAAATAGTGTTACTCAAGTCATATTCAGATCCCCAAGACCCTAAACTTCCCCATTACTGTCGGAATAAAAGATCTCCAACCATTTCAGCAACAGGCTGTTCTCTATTATAGAGCCCTCAAATCCATCTTAGTCTTTTCTTCTGCCTCTAACGTTTTTCCAGGATGGCTAAGTCCTTTTAACATACCAGTAGGAAAGAAGTAAAAGTGGGATATGCAAAACAACCATGGTCTGGACATCCCTGGAGAAAAAAATGGCAAGTCGATTTTGACTTGGCCAGAACAATCTTCTTCTTTAGGCTACCAATTACCCAATCATATACCTCCTGCCGAAGCAAACTGGAAGCAGTTTCTTTCACATTCTTCAACTCCACTCATGCTCACCAACTCTCTAACGGTAGCCAACAGAGTCATTCCAAGCAAATACTGCTCAGACTATCATCATTAGAATACTGAGACTAAGTGCTACTATGATGATGGAATATGAGAAGGAAAAAGTTCCATAAGGAAGCTTTCCCTGGAAGATGATGGGAATATTGTGACAGGCTCTCAAAAATACCAAAGACTGGGGCACCCAAGAATAAGAGCACAGGACTTCAAAAACCGCTGTCTGGGCCCCATGAACTTACTTAATGACACATAAGCAAGTCTCTATTTTTTGTGCCTGTTATCTTTATTCAGGGGGACGACTACTACAAATAGCTACTAAAGCTTTCCGTGGAAAAGTGACAGGAATTAGTGAGATTACAGAGTACATAACATGAAATGCTATATAAAATCCTACTACTGTTCTAGAAACACCAATGTAAACAAACATATAATAGAAATGTACACCTATGTGTATAACAAAACAGAACAGGAAAAAAAAAAAAAAACCACCTTGATGTTTTACTGCTACGGTGTTTTCAGAAGTTTAAAAGACTGTTCCAAGTCTGAATAAAGCAAAGCAGTTTAACTCCAGAACAGCTCACCCTCAGCAGCCTTTGTAACTTAGGTGAAGTGGAGAGAAGGGGAAGAGGGAGAAAAGAACCTGAATAAATCCAATTCAGCCGACCCATGAGAACCAGCCTCACAGGCTTGGGCCACAGGTCTGCAGAAGCCTCGCTACCATTCTACACAAGTGTGCTGCCTAACAAAGGGGCGGGGAGACACTAGAACCTTCCCTGGGCGCTTTCCTGGTGGGGCTGGAGACCTGAACTTGCCAGTTGAGCATTTTCTCTGAGAAAAACAGCTCCCACACACGCCAAGGCCCACCCAGAGGAGAGCCGACTCTCTGAGGTCCTGGACCCCTTCCAGTGGCCCATCGTCAGGAGCCTGCCTTGGGGGGAAAAGTTCGGCAAGGGAGTGCCAAGCTAGTCAGCCTTCCTCAATGTCCCCGGTTCCTTCTCTCCAACGCTCAACAGATGACGGGCCTGGGGAGGGGAGGATTCCTCGGGGAACGATACATGCCGGGGTCTCCGCCAGACCCCAGCGCCCCTCCTTCACGCGTCTCCTGGCGGCTCGGGACCCACGAGCTGGTCTGAGAAGACGGAGGCAATGGGGGAACAGTCACCTCCGCGGTCAGAAAGGGGGCGGAGGCAGGCACTCGGGTTGGACTCGTCTGAAAGGGGCCAGAGCCGCCTGAGCGGGACCCCACACCGGCCCCGGGGCTGGGAGGGCGGCCAGGAGGACCGCCCTCGGGCCCCCGCCCCCACTGTTGGGGGAAGGGGCGGGGGCTCTGAAGCGCCACGGGCCGAGCGGGGAGGAGGCAGAGGAGGAGAGGAAGGCGGGGCGGGCAGGCCCGGCCCAGGAGCTGGGCGGTGCGACTCACCTCTGCTCCCGGCCTGCGGAGCCAGAGTGGCCAGGATCCCTCGCAGCTCCGACGCGGAGATCCGGACGCGCTCCAGCCCTTCCGCCATCTTCGCCGCTGCTGCAACAGCTGCAGCGACGCCGCCACCGCCGCGCGCAGCCAGGAAACCACGGCGGACGGGCGGCGCGCGCGCTCACCCACCTCCCACCTTTTCCCCCGCCCCCTCCCGTCCTCCTCCCCGAACGACGGTGGCCGCGCTGGGAGGAAAAGCGCTAAACGGACGCTCCGCCACGGAAGAGCGGAAGAGACCGAACGCGAGCCTGGGCGTGGGAGGCGGGCGCCGCGCATGCGCAGAGGTGTGGTCGGGGAAGGTGCGCTGAGGCCGGAGTTGGAGGCGCGGCCCCTGTGAGGTGAGGTGAGGCCCGGCCCACAGGCGGGCGGTGGCCGCCGGAGAGGACACTGAGGCTGGGCTGGGGCTGGGGTTGACGAGAGACACCGCAGGATCCGGCCTCCTCCCCTCCTCGCAGGCCAGGGTCTCCCCCGCAGGCCCGGACTAGTGCCCCAGGCCTCGATTTGGGAACCTTGAAAATCTTGTAAGAGTCATTATTATGTTCCCCGCTTTCTCCTCCACTCCCCAGAGATGAAGAAACGGAGTCCCAGAGAACCGTAGTTCCCGGGGTGACTCAGTCGATAAGTACCAGACTGTCAGAGTCTTCTCCTTTACGGCGAAGTGCTTCCCCCGAGCCAGCCTCCTGACTTCTTTAAAAATACAGTGTAGTTGGCTCTCGTTGGGGAAGGGGTTGGGTGGCAGTAAATCAGGAGCGATTCTATACGTCGGTTTGGGAATTTACTTATCATTGTGGATTCTTGGAAAAATGACTTAACGTCCCTGGATCTCAGGTTGGTTGATTGTGTTCCGTCTTTAAATTTAACCGGATCAGCCCCGGCCGGAGCGGCTCCGTTGGTTGGAGTGGCCTCTGGTGTCCAGAGGGTCGTGGGTGTGATTGCCAGTCAGGGCACACACTCGGGATGAGGGTTCGATTCCCGGTCTGGGCATACGGATGTTTCTCACATCCATGCTTCTCTCCTTGTCCCTTCTTCTCTCTCTAAAATCAATAATAATAATAATAATAAACATTTAGAAAATAAAGTCAATAAAAATATATCCTCAGGTGAGGATTTAAAAATTTTTTTAATGTAACTAGATCAGAAAACTGGTACTTTAACTTCTTGTTCAGGTGCACCTATTCAGAACTGTGGTGAAACTCCCTCCCCCAAGGCCGCTTTCCTCCACCTGTTGCTCCTTCCCAATCCCAAACCCACAAAGAATAGTTACGAATTATTCCTTAGACCAGTGGTTCTCAACCTTGGCTGCACAGTAGAATCAGCTGGGAATCTTTTTAAAATCCTGATTTCTGGGCCCCATTCTCCGGAAATTCTGTTTCTTTGTTACTAATGTTGTGCCCCCCCCCCCCCCAACAAAGAAACAGAATTTCCGGAGGATGAGGCCCAGAAATCAGGAGTTTAAAAAGATTCCCAGGTGATTCTAATGTGCAGCCAAGGTTGAGAACCACTGCCTTAGACTGAGCCTAAAAGATTTGAACCATCTCTGACAGAACTCAGTTCCTAGTATGTGACAGACACTTGCCACCAGAAGGTTAAGCAGAAGTAGAAAGTCAATAAGTTACAGAGGGAGATTTAAAGGTCCAAAAGTAGGGGTGTGGAATACAACTTGGGCCTAAAAAAGAAGGAAATCTTATCTTTTGCAACAGCATGGATGGACCTGGAGAGCATGATGCTAAGTGAAATAAGTCAGTCAGAGAAAGATAAGTACCATGTGATTTCACTTGTATGTAGAATCTAATGAACACAAAAAACTAACAAACACAATAGAAACAGATGCAGATACAGAGAACAGACTGACAGCTGTCGGGGGAGGGAGTCATGGGGGGCTACATGAAAATGGTGAAAGAATTAAGAAAAAAACCCACCCACAAACACAAAAAAACTCATAGACACAGACAACCGCGTGGTGAATACCAAAGGGAAAAGGGGGTGGGGGTGGGGGTAGAAGAGAGTAAAGGGGGGATAAAGGGTGAGGGAAAGAGACTTGACTTGGGGTAGTGAACACAATACAATATATAGATGATGTATTATAGAATTATACACCTGAAACCTATATAATTTTATTAACAAATATCACCCAATAAATTCACTAAAATAAGTAAATAAAGTAGGGGAGTGATTTGAGTGGTCAGAGCAAGTGACAATCTTTAAAACATGAAATAGGCTGAGTGGACCCATGCCAGAGGAAGTTGCAGCCTCAAACCATTACCCAGCCTCCTTACCCTTGGGCTGTGAGCACTGACGGGGGCTGTACAGTATAAAAAAATAAATAAATGAATAAATAAATAAAATAAAAATAAAACATGAAATAGGAAGAAATAAACTAATTCATTTTCACATTGAAATTGTAGAGAACATTGCATCAGGTTTGTTTGTTTTTCAGTCGTCCATGACTGACACTTTTTGTAAGTAAGATTTTGGGTGTGTTTTTTGTTTGTTTCTTAATTCTCACCCGAGGATATTTTTTCCATTGATTTTTAGAGATAATGGAAGGGAGGAAGGATGAACAAGAGAAACATCCATATGACTCACATCAAGTGGTTGCCTCCCACACATGGGGATCAAACCTGCAACCCAGGTACATGCCCTAGACTGGGAATCGAACCCATGACCCTTTGGCTTCGGTGCACAGGCCTTCTCTCTGACCACTGAGCACACCAGCCAGGCTGCATCAGTGTTGTTTTTAAGATGGAAAAATAATCTGAAGAAAACCTACTTAACCAAGAAAAACACTGTTACCAATGCAACAGTTTCAGTAAACTACAGGTAAAATATGCCAAAAGTTAAACCAGCTTGAGAAAATTTATCAGAACTCGGAGGGATGCCGAGGCCAGTTTGGCTCAGTGGATAGAGCGTCGGCCTGCGGACTGAAGGGTCCCGGGTTCGATTCCGGTCAAGGGCATGTGCCTGGGTTGCAGGCATATCCCCAGTGGGAGATGTGCAGGAGGCAGCTGATTGATGTTTCTCTCTCGTCGATGTTTCTGACTCTCTATCTCTCTCCCTTCCTCTCTGTAAAAAATCAGTAAAATATATTTAAAAAAAAAAAAAGAACTCAGAGGGAAATATAATAGATAAAAACTATTAGAGGTAAGGACAGAAGATATAGAGAATAGATCCATAAAACTAATAATCAAATATGAGCTCCAGAAGGTGATAACAGAACTGACTGAGGAGGAACAATAATACAAGAAAATTTACTAAGTTGATGGAAAAATTTGAATTTAAGATTTAAATTTAACCCTCAGATTTAAAGGGCTCATGAAGTACCAGGTAAAAATAAGTGAAAAGACAACTGTATTTAGACCTATATCAAATTTCATGCACTGGGCCTCTAGTGTGAGTAATAAAACAACAAAGCAAATTTGGATAGTGGGGGAGAGAGAAATTCAGTTTCTAAAAACAAATATTACACAGGTCATCATTGCTGAGTGCAAAGTATTAAAATGAGTAATGAATAATCACAAACTTAAAAATTCTAATCACTTGGAATTTTTTTAAAAACACCAATTTTGAATAACTCAGGTCAAAAAAATAAAACTAATATCATGGATTCTTTAAAAATTAAGGTTTCTGTAGGTGAAGAAAGGTATAGGGGCAATAAATGGTAATGGACAGGCACTTGACTTGGGGTGGTAAACATATACTACCACGTACAGAGGATGTGCTGTAGAATTGTGCACCTGAAACCTGTATTTTGTTAACAAGTGTCACCCCAGTAAATTCAATAAAAAAGAAAAAAGTTAATGAAAATATTGCACCCAAAACCTATGGTATATTATTAAAGCAATACTCAGGGAAATTTGTAACCTGTGCTTTTATTATTAATTTTTAAAGAATAGAAATTAAAAGGAAAATAGAAGAATAAAGATAAAATCAGAAATTAATAAGGGAAAAAGAACAGTACTTGATAAAAAAAATTGAAGATCTCATTCTTTAGAAATAAATTAGACATTAAAATAGACACATTTCTGGGGGGGAAAAAAAAGAAACCTAAAGAACCTCCTTTTGGAAGTCTCATAAGTAATTCAAACTTAGCTCATCAAATCACTGATTTTCTCTATAATACTTGTTCCTTCGTCAGTCTTATATCTTAATTATACCACCATCTAAGTCAAAACACTGGAGTTATCCTTGTTTCCCTCATTCCCCACCTTCAAACCAATATCAGGATATGTCTCTTCTATCTCTGTAGTGGACATCTATGGAATTCACCACCTCAACATTCTCCCCTTTTCTCTTGAAAACTCCCTCACTCCCAGAAGTATTTTCTCTTTGTTCTGTTGTTTCTTTCCTTTTTTTCTTCTCCCTTCATTTGCTCCTGTTTTTCCCACAGGTACAGAAATTTAAGGCAATCATACTATTTGGATCACATTACCATCAAGGCCTTTCTTATCTTTTCCCCATTCCAATTACTACTCATGTTCCGACCCTCCTCACTAGGTCATCGCTCTAATATGTTTGAAATATGTCCTTGGATATATCTATGTCTTTTAATAATATATAGTGTCTTATGTATGTATATGTGTTAAATGTACATAATTGACATCATGTTATAGAAATCATTCTGTTTCTTTTTCATGTTTCTGTGAATACTTCTGATGCATAATATTGTCTTAAATGCCCTCACACCCTTGGCCACTGGTCCTGGGCCAAGATGGGCCAATCAGAGTCCTTACCCAGAATTTTTTTTAAATGAAACTGAGAAAGAAAATTCCTCTCCAGTGTGGAAACCATAAAATGTAAAGCACAGGAGCTGTCGGCAGCCACGCGTCCTGCCATGTGGAACTGGTGTGCGACAAAAAAGAATGAAGCTAACATGCAGAAAGCAGCAGAGGTGAGAAACAGAGAGTCCTAGAAAATCTCAAATCCCTGGTTTTAATTGTTCCTAAAGGTCCATATCCCTGCCCGTCCCATATTTTAACTCTTTCTTCGATTTCATGAGCCAGTAAATCTCATCACCTCCATCTTGTGTCCTGTTTAAATTGCGGTTCTATTACTTGCAGCCTATTTATAACTAACTAATTATAATCTTCAAAATGTAACTGTTTTTCTGCTTTTTTCAATTGTGGTAAAATGCATATAACATAAACTATA